CCGGACCCTCAGGAAACCCAGGCTAGGGCCTGGCCCCAGAGACCAGGCTTCCAGAGGGGTCTGGGACCCCCACCAGAGCCACTGCGGGCTCCTCTTCAGACCCTCTGTTCCCTCCCCGTGGCTGGCTCGGACGCAGCCAGGGCTGGATAAGGGCACCGTGCAGGTCCCGGGGGCCAAATGTGGAGTCAGAACAGGGCCCGACTCGGGGGAGGGCTCTGCACAAGACCAGAAGGCTTGCCAGCCTCCAGGGCCTCGGGCCTGGCTTCCAGAACCTGACACCGTGCCTGTGGGTGGGACGGGAGGCCGTGGGACCAGCCTCCGCGCCCGAGGCCCCACTCACCTTCCCACAGCTGCGGCAGTGGTGCTTCCGGCGGATGACAGTGAAGGGCGCTTTGCACGCCGTGCAGAAGCCGCAGGCCTCATCGGGCACCCACTCGGGGGGGTCTGTCACAAGGAGAGCAGGGACACGTCAGCCACAGTGGGGCAGCTGGGCCAGGGTGCAGGCCAGAGGCCTGGCAGGCGTGCGGGAGCCTCTGACCCACTCTCCTCCTCCAGTTCCCCCTTAGGCTTCAGGCACTGGCTAAGGCTGCAGAAACATGGCACCTCCGGACGGGCCACTCTTCACAGTCACTGGCAGTGCGGGGCCATCCAGTCCAGCTGCAGCCTGCACCTCTCATCAGGCCAGGCCCCCCGATGCGGGAAATGCTGCAGGGAGCGTCCACCTGATGACCACACCCTGGCTATAGCCCTCGATCACCCGAACTCTCCCTGGTCACCAGCCAGCCTCCAGGAAAGCAGTCCTCCAGCTTCTACGTGTCCAGATCTGGCAGCCTGCAGCCTCCAGCCCCCATGAAGAAGGTTCCTATGACCCCAAAGCACTGCCACGAAGGAGAATCCAGGGACTTCTCCGTCCCCAGTGGTGTCCAGGGGCTGCCCCACAATGCCCTTCCTGATACAGGTGAAATGCCGGGTGTTGGGTGTACACCTGAGCCCAGGGACCAGCCAGCTCCCACCACAAGCAAGGCCTGGCCCTGGTGTCTCCTTGCTCGCTACACCCATTACCTGGTCCCCACCAGGCTGAGAGATATTAAGCTATTAGCCTGAGGACACTCAGTGGTAAGGAGCCTATGTGTTCAGCCTGGCCAGGAGGGGACACGGACCTGAGAGGCTAACTCTGTCCCCAGGAAGCTGCACACACAGCAGTCACTGGGGAGAGGCTGAGGCAGAGAGGTTAGGTTAGGCTTCCGCACTCCACTATGCCTCATGCCAGCCCCTGTCCAGAGGTTCCTGCATACCTTCAAAGTCCCCGTCACGGGTCTTGGCCGCCAGTTCAGAGGATGACAGGGTCTCTTGGCACAACGCGCAGTCCTCCAAGGCCGCACTCCGCAGGGTCTGGGTGACTGGTGGAGAAAGGAGACCATAGGTGTGTTGGGCAGTGTGTTGGTGCTGGTGGGCTTCCGGCAGGGCTCATCTGGGGGCTTCCAGCAGGGCTCATCTCCCCACACCCACTGGCAGGCTTGTGGCACGTGGAGTGAGTCAAAGCAGCAGGTTGGGTGCTGATCCCGCTGGGTCTTTCCGTTCGAGGGAAGCACAGCATGGGGGTGCCCGTGAAGCACTTGGCTCCCCACCCCCAGGCATCCAGCCCCTGGGCCCCTGCACCGCATGTGTATAGTCAGACCCACGGACTGTGATCCCTGGGCAGGTGAGTGCCCAGCCCAGGGAAGAGCCTGTGGAACCCACATCGACCTGGCCATGTCACCCGCCTTCCGGAGTCGTGATTTCCAGAAGGCTGCCCTGCCGAGAATTCCTGGCAGCATGCAGCCTAGTGGTGTGGACCCGAGGGGGCAGAGTGGGGTTGGCACTGCAGGGCCAGAGCCTCAGGACCAGGTGGGTGGCCCAGTGTGGCCAGGCACTTCATGAGAGAAGCCCCTGTGGCCAGGGGCAGTTCAGAAGAGGTACCTCAGCCTCGCACAAGGGGCAAGAAGAGGCTGAACCCCTTTTCCTATCCCAGGATCCTACAAGAACTAAGGGCCAAACACCCTGTGCCGACTCAGTCGCTGCCCTGACGCATTCTCCCTGGCCAAATAACTATGCACATGAGTGTGAGCACCGGTGCACCTGTGTGCATGTGTGAGTGTGCACACGTACTTGTGTGCATGTATGCATGCACATGTGTAGGCATGCATGCGCCTGTACCGGTGTGCCTGCATGTGTAAGATTCTACATGCACGTGTGTGCATGTGTGCATTCATGTATGCACGTGTGTAAGCACATACATGTGTGTATGTGTGCGTGTCTGTGTGAGTGTAGGTGTGAGAGCATGCTTGGGTGCCTGTGATTTGTGGAGCGTGTGTAAACACTTGAGGCAGATTATAGACAGCCGAGGGCTCCTTTTCATGCCCCTGTAGAAAGGTGGGGCCTAGATCCCCTCCTCTTGACCCTGGGTTGGCCTCTAACTGCTTTGACAGGCATTAGGTAGAGGGGACACTGTGCCACATCCAGGTCACAGAGGGAGGGCATGGTCTCTGGTCTCTCCCAGCCCCATCAGCAGTGAGAAGTCGGGTCACCTTACTGCGGCGTGTGCAGTGGGACAGAAGCTGAGTGTGCAGGGGCGTGGTGTAGGGGAGGGGATGACCCATCTGCGAGTCTGCAGGGGTGAAGCCACTTCTCTGGGCAGGTGGCCTCTCTCTGGGCACTTCTTTTGCCCACTGCTGTGTACCCCTTGGCTCCCCCAGCAGGAAGCCACATTGCAAATGTGCCAGGTCACAGAAATCTGGGAGACACAGTTGACTCTTAGGGACCATATTTGCCCAGGGCTAGGTGGTGTGATTTTTCGAGCACCCCTCCCTAGGTGAGGGGGCACAGTGGCTGGTGAAGGCCTCAGAGCCCTTCCTGGATAGCCACTCACCCTTTCTTAACTTTTCCTTGTCATCTGTTTCTGGCTTGGTGGCCATGACTTCAAACAGCGTTTTGAGAATACTTCTCAGGTCACTTGCATAGTTCGTCTGCAGCTGGTCAGCCACACCTGAGGGAGGAGGACCACTGTGAGAGCGACAGGAGGACCGGGGGGAGGCGCTGAGAAGTACTTGTGGAGGCTTGGTGCTGGATGGAACCCCAGCAGAGCTCACAGCCAAGACCAGTGTGTTCTCCCATCAATCGGGGAAGGAAGCAGCCCCGCCAGCTGGGGACTATTCCTTGGACAGGAGTAAAAACCCAGGAGTCAAGAGAAAGCAGGAGAAGGAACGAACTATGGGCACAGCCCCACCACAGTGGCTCTGCTGCTGACGCTCATGCCTTTAATCCACAGGGCATGGCCACTCGCCAGAGGACACTCTCAGAGTCCTGGCGCTGCGCCCACTTCCAGGATGGTACCTGTCACAATCACAGTGCCTCAGGCATCTAGATTCATCTTCCCCTAGTGGACACAGCCCCCAGCAGCCTATAAAACATTGTCTCAAATACATTTGCCACAATACAGGCTCTGCATGGCAGGGAGCCTCAGGATGGTCCTGTCCTAGACGGTTCCCAGCACCTGACTCCCCCCCCCACCTACACCCCATTCCCCCAGCTGCTCCCTGGAGGAAAACGCCTCCCCACCCTCACCTGCGGAGATTCTCCTTCTCTTGTTGCTATTAGATAGATCTAGCCCTTCTCCGTGAAAAGGAATACTCGCTCTTTGGGGGGCAGACTGGGCTGCCATGTATAGCAAAGCCAGGGAGAGGCTGTGCACACCCCACCCCTCTCCTCTAAGTGCACCCCCCATGTCCTCAAGCCCACGCAACCATCCCAGGTCCAGACATCCCACCTGAAATGCAGACAAACAGGCGGTGGATCAGGTCGTGGCTGCCGTGGAATCTGGCCCTGATCTTCTCTCTTGTACCCGTGTGGGAGGCTGCCAGGGCCGTGTCTGACCCCCTCTTGTCTAAGGAGCAGGAACCAGCTGTGGAGCTGCTGCAAGAGACAGAGATCCAGGGTGTATGGGGGAAGGGAATACAGCGGGGGGCTTCTGGAGCCTGAAGGTCAGCAGTTCCAGACAAAAATCTGTCCTTGAAGACTCACACTCCACAGAGCTGAGCTGCCCAGACACACTACTGTGCCATCACTTAACTTAATTCATGTGCGCCACTGAAGCCAGGTGGTATGACAGAGGCTCTGACCTAGCCCCTGCCTGTTCCGGGCCTTTGGTTTCTGCTGCCCTGAGGCAGCCATGACCAAGTCCTTCTGCGGGATCTCCTGTTCGACATCTGCATGGACTTACAAGCTCAGGCTGCGCTGCCTCGAATTCCCAGTTTACAGCATCTTCTGACACCCCCTCACACCGTCTCTAGTGGGTTGAATGGCAACCTCCCCAAAAGATAATGTTCACACCCTAACTCCTGGAACCTGTGAATGTGACCTTATTTGGAAAGAGGGTCTTTGCAGATGTCATTAAGTGAAGGGTCTTACAATACAGGCATTCATATGGAAACATAAACCACCAAGAATAGCCAAAACAATCCTCAGCAAAAAAACAAACAAACAACAACAAAAAAAACAAAGCAGGAGGTATCACACTCCCAGACTTTAAGCTATACTATAAAGCTACGATAATCAAAACAGTCTGGTATTGGTACAAGAACAGGCATATAGACCAATGGAATAGAACTGAGATCCCAGAAGCAAAACCTCAATTTCTCAACCAACTCATCTTGGACAAAGCCTCCACCACCCACTACTGGGGAGAGGAGAACCTATTCAGTAAATGGTGCTGGGAAAACTGGCTGACTACATGCAGAAGATTGAAACAGGACCCCTACCTATCCCCATACACAAAAATTAACTCTAAATGGATCAGAGACCTAAATGTAAAACCTCAAACTGTAAGGACCTTAGAAAATGCAGGACACTCTTAGACACTCTTATGGAAGTTGAACTGGCAACCGATTCCTGATCAAAACCCAAAGTGCCCAGGCTATAAGAGATAAGAGAGACACATGGGACCTCATTAAACTGACAAGCTTCTGCAAAGCCAAAGAAACCATCAAGAGAGCAGGGAAACAGCCCACAGACTGAGAAAAAATATATGCCAACTCCATATCTGACAAAGGCCTAACATCAAGGATCTACAAGGAACTCAAATGTGCTGAAAAGAAAAAAAACAAACAGCCCTAATTCAAAGTGGGCAAAAGACATGAATAGACACTTCTCAAAAGAAGACATACGAGCAGCCTCACTAATCATCAAGGAGATGCAAATTAAAACTACACTGAGATACCACCTAACTCCAGTCAGAATGGCCATTATCAATAACTCAAATGCTGGAGAAGATGTGGCAAAAAGGGAACACTTCTACACTGTTGGTGGGAGTGTAAACTAGTACAGCCTCTGTGGAACTCAGTGTGTCGATTCCTAAAACTCCTAAAAATTGACCTTCCATATGATCCCACAATCCCCCTACTGGGAATATACCCGGAAGAACTCAGGTCACTCTATAAAAAAGATACCTGCACACGTATATTTATTGCAGCATTGTTCACAATAGCAAGAACCTGGAACCAACCATGGTGCCCATCAAAAGAGGACTGGATTTTAAAAATGTGGTACATATATACAATGGAATCTTATGCAGCCATAAAGAAGAACAAAATCATGAACTTCGCAGCAACATGGATGGAATTAGAGCTTATAATCCTGCGTGATCTCTCACAGAAACAAAGAGCTGAGTGTTCTCACTCATAAGTGGACCTTGAACATGTTCTCACTCATAAGTGGACCTTGAACAACCACCATATTACTATAGGAAAGGGATTGAAAGTAGCAGGAAACTGCGGGGAGGGGAGTGGAGGGGAGATAGCTGGGATTGACAGTAGTCGATATCCACCCGGGGAAGGGGCTGCACACCTCATCAACAAGGGTACCTGCACAATGAACATTTGTATACCTAACCCTGAATTGTACCCCAGAATTTCAAAATAAAAATTAAAAGAGAAAAAAAAGTGAAAGATCTTGAGATGAGATCATCCTGGATTATCCAGATGAGCCCTAAATCCATTGACAAGTGTCCTTATAAGAGACAAAAGAAGAGATAAACATACAAAGGACAGCAGCAAGATAGATACTGGAGCCTGGGGCCACAAGCCAAGGAATGCCTGGGGCCTCCAGCAGCTGGAAGAGGCAGGAAGGGTCCTCCCCTGGAGCCTTTGGAGGGAACACAGCACTGCTATACCTTGATCTCAGATTTCTGGCCTCCAGGCTGAGCGACAATCAGTGGTACTTCATTATGGCAGCCACAGAAACCTAATACATGACCCCACCCTAACTACGCTTCCCTTCTCCATCTTCTCAGCAGTTACAGCCTCAGTTTTGATTAGATTTGCTATTCAGGGGTCCCATGGTGACCATAAACAGTATTGAGGTTGAGCCTGGTCTACGTCAAGGAGGCTACCTTACTTCAACTCTGGGGCTGTGTTCACAGGCCCTCCAATTTTAAAGCAATTGATCTCCTATCTTCTATCTCTGTCTTTTTGTCCCACTTTCTGGGAAATTTCCTCATCTCTTTCTTCCAGTGTTATCCTTGACATTTTAACCTCTGCTATCGGGTTTTTCATTTCCTGCTCCTAACTGTTGTTTCATGGATGTAAAGCTTTTTGTCTATAGAGAAATATTTGTCATCATTTTATTAAAGTTGCCACCGTGGCCTGCACTGCCTTGGTTTCCCCTTTTGGGGGTGGCGTGTTTGGTCTGTGTTTCACACCAGAGGCCTACCTCAAACATTTGGGATCCCCGCAAGAGGCTATGGGTGGAACAGGAACCTTCACCTTGCTAGTGGGAGTGTAAACTGGTGCAACCACTTTGGAAACATAAGTTGGCACCATCTGAGCAAAACGGGAGCTGCCCACACTCCACAGCCCGGCACCTGTTGCCAGCACACACAGGAAAGGCTATCTGTGCATGTCTGCAGACACGCAGAGTCTTCAGGGCAGCTCTGACTCCTCTAGTGCAGCGCTGGAAAGGAGCCCCAGCCCCTGAACGATGGGCTAGAACACCGACTGTGATCTCCTCACACAGGCAGAGACCATCAAGGCGGAAGGAAGCCAGCCACAGCCCCCTCGTGACGTGCGTGAACCTCACACATTGCACAACTCCCTTCACACACAGTGGGAAGCACTCAGCTGCCTGATGGCTTATTTAGGGAGATATCCTCGCGAGGTAAAACTGCTCTGAAGCGCAGAGGCGTGATGCACAAAACTCAGTAAGCCGCCCAGGGCAGCAGGGAGGTGGGCTGGAAAGGCCCCAGGCTTCCCAGGTTCCCTTCCATGACGGTTATGCTCTAGCATGATGAATACTCACAGGAGCAGAGAATGGTAGGAGGCTTGGGGGGGCTGGACTCATGGGGCTGGACCCGATGCTGCTCTGCAGCTTTTCTCTCCCAAGTGGCCCAGTTTCCACAGAGAGGAAGCCCCTGACATTCAGCCTGGGGGTGTGAGCCTCATGCCCTCTGCCATGGGAGCTTAATGAGGAAGGGGCCTTTGCTGTCCAGGATGTCTCAGCTGACAACCTCGCCCACAGGAATTGGAAGTAGAGACATGGGACAGACACTTGCACGCCCTCATTCCCAGCAGCACTATTCACAATGGCCAAGAGGTGGCAGCTACCCAAGTATCCACTGGCAGAGGAGTGGATAAACAAAATGTGGTCCATCCATACAATAGACTCGTATTCTGCCTTAAAAATGAAGGACAGGCTGGAATCGGTGGCTCAGCCCGTAATCCCGCGCCTTTGAGAGGCTGAGGTGAGTAGATTGCCTGAGCCTGCGGGTTCAAGACCCGCCTGGGCAGTGAGACCTCATCTCTACAATAAAAAAAAATCAGCCAGGCATGGTAGTGCACGCCTGCAATTCCGGCTACTCGGAAGGCTGAGGCGGAAGGATCGCCGGCGCCCAGCAGGTCGAGGCTGCGGTGGCCGGGAGCGGCCACTGCACTCCAGTGTGGGTGACTGAGTGAGACTCCGACTCAAAAAAAAAAAAAAGAAGGACATTCTGACAATGCTACAACATGGATGAACCTTGGAAACATGCTGAGTGAAATACGCCAGTCCCAAAAGGACAGGTCATGTATGAGAGAGACAGGAATTAGAATGGTGAATCCTGGGGCCCGGAGAGGAGGAATGGGCGGTTAGTGTTTTTTTGTTTGTTTAATGTCTTTATTTTAAAGATGTGGGGTACAATTCAGGGTTAGGTGTACAAATGTTTGTTATGCAGGTACCCTTGTTGATGAGGTGTGCCTCCCCTCCCCTGGCAGTTTCCCATTACTGCCAATCGGAAATTAGTGCTTAAATGGTGACAGTTTCACCTAATGCCACTAAAATGTACACTTAAAAGTGGCTAAACAGTGCATCTTGTTACATATATTTTACCAATTAAAATGAAGAAGAAGCCAGGCTCGGTGGCTCAGCCTGTAATCCCACGCTTTGGGAGGCTGAGGTGAGTGGATTGCCTGAG